GTTTTTGAGTTTGACACCCCTGCTCTAAGTTATTTAAAGCTGTAGTCATTTTTAAGCCTTTATTCTTTGCGATTTTCATCTGACCCACTGCCCTTCAACGTGATGGGCCTACATAGGCCAGCCAAGCCAGCAGCAAGGGAGTTGGGGATTTATGAGGGAGGGGGAGCCTCCCTTCATAATCTGGCCAACCCCTGTCTGAACTCAGCCCTGGTACAGTAGCCAAATGAGCTCTGTCTGATAAGAAAAGCTGAGAGAGGCCAAAACGCTCCAGTGGCAATGCGAGCGAGCCAGACTGGAGGGTAAGTGGAAGACCAGAGGAGGACTGACAAGTTGACTGGGAGTGAAGTGAAGATAGTGGGTAAATGAGTGGGGGTTGGGGTTGAAAGTAAGAGTGAGTGTGAGTGAGTGACTTAGTAGTGAATAAATAGGAAGAAAATACAGATTAAAAGAGATATAAGAGATGATAAAAAAGTAAGGCATAAGGAATGGGAGAGGGAATGAGAGCATCAAAGAAAGAGAAAAGGATTTAGATAGAAAACATAAGAATACTGGCATTGTTTGGACAGAGGTTTTGACTAGAACTAATATCCATTACAACAAGTTGAAAGAAAAGTCCTTGCTCAGTGTAAAAGCAATCAGGTGTCACATAAAGCAGAGGTCAGTTTACCTCAGTGCAAGGTGCTCTGTTGGCTGTTATGGCAAAAAGGAGCAGACAAGGAAAGGACGCTTTACATATTCACGGTTTTATTTCGCCATTCCTAAGGTTTATAAGACCCCATTTATCCGAATCTGTGATTATTTCAAGTGCACCACACTACCCCCTCCACCTCATTACAATCTAGAGTCAGCCTTCATTCTGTCAATCCTCCAGAGGTACATCAGCCTCTCCTAGAGGCCTGACGAATGCCTTGGAAGCACTATGAGGCAGCTGGACCGAGGGGGGCAAAACCAACCTCCTGAACTTAGCATCACCTCCCCTTGTGTCTTGATACCCTATGGGTGCTATCATCAGCATCCAGCCATGCATGGCCACTAATGAGGAGTCCCTGCTCTGTTAAACAAATACATAAACAGTCAGGCTAGAACCTAAATAAGCTGCACGTAAGGAAGAAACACGGTAGGTAAAGACCCTCAAGCACCAAGATGGGCTTCCTGGTGTAGCAGCTAAGCATTAGCACGAACTGATGGCTAGGTTTACACTGAGCCTTCAACGCCTGCTGGCACATGGAAGCCATTTCAGACTTTTCCTTGTGCATGGAAACAGTGCAGGAAGTCAAAAGGGGAATGTCTACGTCTGTCAAAGCACATGCACGCATGAGTGACAGCATGTGTAGGTGTGTTTTTGCGTGCATGGAAGCGTGTCTGCGTGTGTGTTTCAATGAGAGTGTAGCCGTGGGCTTACCTGAAGTCAGGCCAAACAGGCCCGAGAGAAACCTCAAAAGACTGGATGATTGATGCTGGACAGTCACTAAGCCTGATGAATGGGCTACGCTATGTTAGCAATTAGAGACAAGGCGCCACTTAACCATCAAGTGGCTCAACTGCGCTATTTGTAAGGAAAAAGATAGCATGGTGTGCACACAAGATGGTGAAAAAAAATGTTTCTATGTTGTTACAGACTGATTCTCTCTTCCTGCTGTCAACCATTGCTACAATTTACCCTTTAGATGAGTATAAAAATAGACCCAAAAGATTAAGCCTCTTCAGAAATGTAACATTGGAGGGCAGAATGCACCAAAATACACAGTCAGAAGTAGAGACAAGAGGGGGGTCATCTTGGACTGAAGAGGGCCTTCTAGCTGTGGTCAATTAGTCATCAGTAAGGCGATCCGAAGCCTCCACTCCTAAGGTGATCAGCTCCATATGCAGCCGCTGCTCCCAGCTCTATTCCTCCATTTCTAACACATAAATGCCTCTGATTGTTATTGTTGGGCTGGCCAAAACGCAACGGCTTAGTCTCTGCTGTGTGATGAGGAGAACTGGAGCGACGCTTGTCCATATCAAGCCATCACCCCTCCTAGCGAATGCACTGGAGCACACATGCTGACATGGCAGCCACATTAAGTATGTGATGACAAATGGCTCACACCTCATACAGTGCGGGGGAAAAAAGAGAGAATAGGGACTGAAATTTGGATCCCCTCATGTATGAGAGTGTGTGTTTATTAGAGGGAATGGAATGGAGGCAAGATTGTCCAGAGAACTGTCAGCGCACAGTAGTGCCATGAAACTTCAGCAGATAAGAGGAGTAAGACAAGCTGAATGCTGGATGTTTCATCACGTTAGCTTGGCTGGGATTGGCCAAAATGAATTTCTGGCAAGCTAATTCTTTATGGGGCAATTACAGTTGCCCTCTGGCTGATGGACTGGATGGATGGCTAGATGACATGATGGAAGCTGGCTGGCTTGTACTCTGGTTGTATGGATGACGAGAAGGCTGGCTAGTTGTCTTGGCCTGGCTCGTCGCACATCTCGGTGTCTAGGGCAAGCTATGTGTGGCCTGTCTGGTTAGTGCCACAGTGGAAAAGAAGGATCCTAAGATGTCTTTACCTTAGCTGTGGCCACAACTAAAGCCACTCCACAATTCCTAACCCGCCAGGGAAAACAAGCATGGTGCTCCATTTCAAACACACGGCCCTCGGCCCGTAACGACCACTCAAAACATCGCCCCGTGAACCGAACCGAACACTGTAGCATTTGACAAACATTATTTCTCCCTCTAAATTGAGAGCGACAAGGGAAAACAAACGCGAGTGGCCCGGGCAGAGAGGCCGACGTGTTTTGACATGATGTCACTTAACAGCAAAAGTGTAACAACGACAATAAACTCCTGCCGACTGCTGTGTTGACTGCTATGTTTAGAGGTATAAATACAAGTGTAGTGGAAACACATGCTGGCGTTCTTCACACCAGATGTCGACCATGGAAAAACCAAATACAAAGTGGGAATGGGCCTCCTGGACATTAAAATACAATTACCACCAATCATATCTGGTGTTGGAGTGTGTCATTTCATCTTACCTCACTGAGATGGCATAGAGCCCCCCACACATAACACACATGACCGTTCCACACACTGGGTCCAGCATATTTATGAGTTCTTGCATACTTCCTCAAACGCCACAGACTACGGTGCTGCTCAGAAAGAGTAAAATCATATAATATTAGTGTATTCAGTCATGATCAGAAAATCCATTTACTGTTATGGTCACCTATAAAGATTAATACAGCGCTGTAAAGAATTAGCAGGAGCCCAGATGAATATCCACATTATTGTTGCAGAGAGGGCAGCCGGAGAGTAGTGAAAGGTACCCGAGGTTTTATTTCAAATGATTTTTCTAGCTGATGCAACAGAGCTGCTGCTGCCGGCCAGTCCCCTCTGGGTGACCCGCTGCATGCCTTTCCACCTGTTTTATTAAACGACTTGTGATTGCAACTAATAAAAGCTACTCCCTCCCACCCTATACTCTTCCTCCCTCATTCCTAGTTTCCCTCTCGCACTAAGCCAAGCTCTGGTTTCCCTTTTTATTTCCTTAACCCCGGTCTTGACCTACCAGTCGTAATTAACAAGTATACTGAGAAAAAGGAAAATTGCAGGTCATTATTCTGATAATTATGGCGAGCAGGAGAGATTCCAGGAGAAGCTGCCAGGTAATGTAATGCAGAGGGCCTTGTGACGGAGCGGCTTACCTTCATTTGTCTTCCTACGCCCCCTCTTTCCTTTTCCTCCTCTGCCTTTTTAAACCTTAATGTTAGCACAAGTCATTACCCGGTTGCTATGAAAACACACTTAACAGCCCACCTCAGTACTTCAGACAGGTGCTGGTGAATTTGGGTGTGCGAATCTGTGTGTATATGTGCCATCTCACTAAATGTGTATTTGTTTCCATACTGCCTGCATGAATCACCATGTAGACTGAGTGGAATCGCCGTCTCTTTGCTATAAGCTGGACAGTGCCAGATATTTAGTCATAATGTACTGTACTGTGTGTGTCTTGTCTGAGAGCCCTGTATTAGCTGCATGAGCGCACACAAAGAGACAGTTGTGTCATAGAGAGAGGTCTATCACTGCCCTGGGATTGTTTAGTGTTTTCCCTGTCGTTATCCCGGGTAAAGAAAACAGCACTTTCACATGTCACTTCTCATTTCCAAAGTGGGCTGGGAAGCAGGGCCGCCGAGGAGCACCCGGCCTCGACGGGCAACAATGCCTACATTCAGCCTCCGAGCCTCTCTGGCTCTAGGAACGCCGAGCGGAAAAGAGCAGGAGTGCCGGGATGTGTGTCCACGTTTATGATTACACATGATGGGAGGAAGACGTTTTATTTAAGAGGGCCATGAGATTAGGATCTGGGAATGCCTCAGATGTGGCTTTGGAAGCCGTGCGTGTTTTCACATTCACAACTCAACAGGCTGCAAGGGTGGTGTAACAGCCGCTGGACTGAGAGCTGTACAAGTACACACATACGAACAAGCACAGAGGCTTTTCCATGTCTGCAGTTTTGCACTGATTTTGCATCAA